AGTCAATTAAGGGCAATTCAAGTGTCACTAGCTAAACCAAGAATGTATATTATAGGGGGTATTGGAGCCCCGACACCATTCTGGAAGCAACATATTGTTTTTCAACCGAAAGCGCAGGCGTCCCCGCGCCCAAAACAGGTGCCCCTACGCCATGTCCAACATAAGACGGGCGCCACTGTGCCCAAAAGAGGCACCCCTGCTCCACGACGACACCTGTCCGCCACATAAGCCCTAAAACTGACGAGTTTAAATGGTGAACTATAAATAGGGCTGAAGGAGTTCAAGAAAAGGACTTTTGGGAGAAGGAATTGATGAGCACACAAGAGAGAACATCCTTGGAGATTGAGGAATCCACAAATCAACAAATCAACGAGTTCTTCTTATTCTCTATCAATATTTTCTATTTTATCAATGTTTAAGAACATGAATTGTGTTTTCTTTTATATTTTCATGGAGTAATTTATTTTTCTAGAGATACAATGTAGCTAACACTAGAGATTATACTTTGTTCGTTTAATTATTTATTCTAGAAGTTATTCAATCGGTTTATATGTGTTTATCTACTCTTAATACTTTTGAATGCTTGATCACCATTTGAATGATATTGAATTTGGGATTTACTATCGAGAGAGAGAATTCTAAATAGGGATCATTGATAAACACAACCTAGGAGATTATAGAATTCGAGAGGCCTATGAAATCCTTTGTAGTTATTAAGAGACCAAATATCTAAATATACTTTATCATCTTAATTTTAGATGGAGACTCAAAATTAAGATTTTAAGAGTAATTCTTAATTCACCATCAAGAGAGGAGATTAAGATAATTTCGGGTTCTTGACTAATAGACCATAAGAATAAATCAAGGAATAGTTAGATGATTGAAGCATGATGGATGGTTAGGTGAAATTGAATCTCTATAGTTTAAGCCTATTAGTGTTAATATTGTTCAATTGCATTGTTAATTAATTAAATTAGTTCAGTTAGTTATCTCACTCCGATATTTTTATTTTCTAGATAAAATTAAGGTTATTTTAATTACAGGAATTATAATGATTTGATCTCAATCCCTTTGTAAAACGATACTCTACTCTCACTATATTAAAACTCGACACCGTACACTTGCTGTTGAAAAATTCTCACATCACCCACCCACAGTTTGTACCCTTTAACATGTTCATCATACCCCAAAACAACACATTTAAGGGATCTAGTTTCTAACTTTCCAATGTTTTGATGAGCATAAGCACTTTCAGGTAAGAATAATTCATAGAGTTATTAGACCAGACAACTTCAGGAACAGCAAAATCCAAAACACTTGTAGGAGTCCTATTAATCAAAAAGGCTGCAGTCTTAACTGCTTCACCCCAAAACATTTTTGCAAACCAGAACTCAAAAGCATACATCTAACTTTATTTAAAAAAGTTCCGTTTATTCTTTCAGTCATACCATTTTGTTGTGGTGTGTAAGTGACAGTTTTATGTCTCAAAATTTCATGCTCTTTGCAAAAATTGTTGAATTTATAATTACAAAATTACATTTCATTGTCCGTTCTCAAGATTTTTATTTTAAGATCAGTCTGATTTCAACCTGGGTTTTTCAGTTCTTAAAAACAGAGAAAGTCTCATCTTTTGATTTCAGCAAAAACACCCAAATTTTTCTTAAAAAATCATCAATTAACATGAAATATTTGAAGCCAGATAAGGTAGACACAGCAGTAAGACCCCACAAATTAGCATGGAAGTACTCAAGTTTTTGTTTGGATTTATGAGTCCCAATGGGAAAAGGAAGTTTAACTTGTTTTCCTACACTACATTGTTCATAAGAACCAAAATAACCAATGTTTAATTTCCCAAAAACACATTTTGATTGCAAGAAATTCAAACTCTTTTTACCAATATGACCACGTCTTTCATGCCATAATTTTGCCAAAGTAAAATTTTCACATATAGCAGAAACAGTTAGACCCGACAAAGGTTTAGTTTTAAAGTAGTACAAACCACGTCTCTTAGGTGCTGAAACAATCAAGTCATCCCCTCTAAGAATTTTAATATGTCCTTTCCCCATATCATCTAATATGCCTAGGGACACTGAGTTTCTTTTCAAGTCTGGGACAAATCTAGTTTCTTTCAGAAATAGAAGATTTCCATTTTCTAATAGAAGTTTAACAGTCCATATCCCACTTATTTTACGGGCAAAATTATTTCCCATTATAACATGCCCTCCTTTGATTTTTTTCAAAATCAATAAAACAGTTTTTGTTTGGACACATGTGAAATGCATAGCCAGAGTCAAGTATCCATTCATCACTAAATTTCTTTCCAGCATTTACAAGAACTAAACTATTTTTAGTTTTGGTTTTATTATATACTAGAGTAGCTCTCCCATCTTCAAAACCCTTTTCCTTTGCTTCATTTTTCTTTTTAAAACAATCTTTAGCAAAATGACCAATTTTACCACAATAATAACATTTCTTACCTTTAGCATTATTCTTTGTCTTAATCCTATCAGTCCACCTTATATTTTCTTTTAAAATTTTTGGATGATATTCAGATTTACCAAAAGTTTTTCCTTTGGACAGCAAGTTGACCCCAGTGTGACGACACTTGACTCAGCCTTTATTTCTTGTGCCTTATTTTTCAATGCATTGATAATTATGTTTGAAGTGAGTTCATCTCTACCATATTCTAAGACAACCTTAATGTCCTTATACATGTCACTGATAGAGTTTAAAAAATTACAACCAACTGATCTTTTGAAAGTTTTTCATCAAAATCGGCCAAGTTTTGGGTAAGTTTTGTAAATCTATTCAAGTTTCATCCAAATGAACTGAATGATCCATTTTAAAAGAAAAGAATTGTTTTAAAAGAAAACACTTATTTGTAGTAGTTTTCTGACTCCATAAGTTGAAATCAAAATTTCCATCAAACTGACTAATTTCAAATTTAGCAAAAGCCATGTTAAAGTCAAATCAGGCACACAAACTGAAGACAATTAATACAAGATGCTAAGAACAACAAGAGTACAGATTGGTGACAAATAGAAAATCACAGTAATACACTCAGTAGAACAAGATTTTCAATTAATAAACACTGACAAGATTATGCAGATCAAAAAACTCTAAAGAAACACAGTATCAGAGATCACTAAACTATGTTTCACTGATCTCTCCAGCAAGATTCTCCAAGTAAAACACACGTACTTGATTTATCTCAGATTTTAGCAGCCTCGTAGGAGCCGCTGGACAAAGATTAATTTCAAAGGGGTTTCAACGATGTACGAAAAATCAAGGGACTGATCAAGAAATCCTAACTTCAGAAATAAAAATTTACATAAGTTAAAAGATCTCACCAAGTGAGTTTATATAAACTCGTTTCCTTTTGATTTTCTTAAGAGCAGATCCAGAAAGCAGATCTGCCTCTTTCTTCAAAGATCCAGGTATCTTGTTCCTCGGTTCAAGGCTCTGATACTAATGTAAAGTCAAGACCACACACAATATGAGAAACGAGAAATACGAATCAACTGAAAATAAACTGCAGAAATTAAAATGAACACCAAATAATTATTTCGGCCTTAGCCTCAGAGGTTCGGTGACCCTTTCTAACACCTACATCCCCCGTTGAGTATTCAAGAAATGAATTATGCTCAGCTGCACTAAAACAGCCCAAAATGGCAACAAAAGTTACAAATGTTCAGAGAAATGAAGCAAGAGACTTATCTCTCAAAATTTAGCGATAGATCTATAAAAGATTCACCAAGAATCTTCAAATAATCCTTTGAACAACACTAGAAAACCACAACAGAGAAATCATGCAGATCCTTACAACATTCACGTAGAATATTACACAACGAAAGTTACTCTATCACCCACAACACTTAAAATCAAAGATTTTAAGTGAATCAAAACAAAGGCAGTAAACGTTAGCCATATTTCCTCTCTTTGTCTCTCAAACACGCGGGAGCCCCAGAAGTCTCCAAAAGCCAAACGAACCGTCTGAAAACCAAGAACCATCAAGCCCAAGTAAATAATGCAATTTCTATCCAACGGTCAGAAATAGAACACGTGTCAAGCATCAGTCAAAACGTTTCAATAATAGAAGCGTGTTTCACAAACACGTTTATTCCCACAAAATGCTGGGAGCATCATATAAGAGAGAACAAGGGTTCGAATCCAACAACATTTTTCCTAAAAAGTGGGTCTCAAACGGGACAGAATGTGTTGCATACGGTGCACGACCCCTGAGGGGCTAATGCAAACTTAGCCATTTAAAAGCAACCAACAAAAGCATAGAGAAGGAACAATACACACACTTCTTCAAGTCTTTTGCTTTTCACTTGGGAATTTGGCATCTCAGCCGTTGGTTCTCATTCACATAAGATTGAATTGGAGATTGTGAGTGGATTTTCGGAAGTCTGCTGTCAATTTTCCTCCAACAAAAGCAGCGTAGTGATGATGTTTTGAACATGCTAACACTTTTGTTTACGAGATTTGTTCAACGTCAAACATTTCGTGCAACAGATCCCTAACATGAGAGTTGGATAACTTGATTGAAAAAAAAAAAAAAAAAAAAATAGAGACCCTATTTAAATTTCATCACATTTTAGTTTAACTCCTAATTTAATTGAAATTTGTAACTTCGGTGTTGATTCAAAAGTACACAAAAGTTGTAACAAGTTATTTAATATTTTATGAGTGATCACCGATATATTTAACACGTTGGGACTTTTTAAATGTTTTACAAAGAATGGAAGGAGGGATTAACATTGAATATTATGTTTACATTTTTTTTTAAAGTGATTGTGTAATCTTTTACTCTAGCCATAAGAATAGTCCAATTTAATTCCCTCAGTTCGATATTTGCTATGCCCAGATCAATTCTATATTAAACAGGTGACGATAAAATTGCAATTTCTACAAATAATTTGTCTTAAATTCCATTAACCCAGTTAAGAAGTTCTTGAATTTTCAAGTATACATAGAGAAAATCACATGCAAATGAAATGAATTTCCCTCCTCCACCTCCAAAACTCAACAATGGTACGCCCCACCATGCAGAACAACAAGATCCCAAAGATTCAAATCCTCTGCTGTTCGATCACTATGAATCCCAAGAAAATATTCTGGCGTTGGAAATCGAGTCAAATGACGAAGGGGCGGTGCCACCATTTTCATGGAAGAAGCTGTGGGAATTCCTCGGACCGGGCTTTCTAATGAGCGTGGCATTTCTTGATCCGGGAAACCTGGAGGGTGATCTGCAGGCAGGGGCAATTGCGGGCTATTCTTTACTTTGGTTGCTAATGTGGGCTACGTTTATGGGGCTTGTTATTCAGCTCTTGTCTTTAAGGCTAGGGGTGGCCACGGGGCGGCACATGGCAGAGATATGCAGGGAGGAGTATCCCTACTGGGCCGGAATTTTGTTGTGGGTGATGGCGGAGTTAGCCTTGATTGGGGCTGATATTCAGGAAGTGATTGGCAGTGCCATTGCTATCAAGATTTTGAGCCATGGGGTATTGCCTCTATGGGCTGGTGTACTAATCACTGCTTCTGATTGGTTAGTTCTTTTTCATTTTGACATATTTCATTCTTGCCAGTAACTATTTGATAATAGATACTGTTGATGTCAAAATCCATCAACATTTCAACTTAACGAGAATCATCGAACGCTGTTTCCTTATTACTGTTGTCTTGGGACACAATTGTGGGACATTGGTTTTAAGGTTACCCAACATAGGCCGTCTGATGCTTTTAGCAAGAATGTTTGAATAACCAATAATATGATGAATAATTGTGTGTTGTGTGCATATAGAAGGCATGTCGTCCTCGTGCAATACATTTAAGTACTTGTCAACTATGAGTTGTGAATAGAATTACGCCTGAATCTATGAGACTTGTCAGGAACTTCATTTATTAGTCAATTATCGAGTTAATTACCCCAATAGTCACTGAACTTTATCGAAAGTTTCCACCGGGTCACTGAACTTTCAAAACTGCAACCTCATCCATCACTGAACTTTAAAAATCACCCCATTCGTCACTGAACTTTTAACTTTTTGCAAAGTTCAGTGACCAATGGGGTGATTGTTAAAGTTCAGTGACCAATTAGGTGATTTTTTGAAAGTTCAGTGACTAATCAAGTAGTTTTTAAAGTTCAGTGACCTGGTGGAAACTTTCGGTAAAGTTCAGTGACTATTGGGGTAATTAACTCGCCAATTATCACATGTATTTACTAAGTGGTGTAAACTGTGATTGCATATTGAAATAAGATGAATTTTTCAAGTAGGATGAGGAGATAATTTTTTTATCCTCACCAGTTATCCTTATTTAACTCACCACTTGTAATTTGGGGGCAGAATATTAAGAACCTTCATTTGTAGTGTGTGTTTTGACAGCCCTAATGCACACAGGTGCATTCTTCAAGGTCGTTGTGCAGAAAAAGTGAAATATCTTTCTGGTTCAAGGTGTTATGCTTTGAACACCAAATACAGAGCACATTCTTGTTTGTGTATCTGATTTTGAACAGTGTTTCCTGTGAAACAAAGTTCGTTTTTTAGTACTAATAATTTGGAAACATACTAATCTCGAACAATGAATTCTTTAACAGCCAATGGATTGCTGAATCACCAAAAGTATTTGAAATTTACAGACAGAAGAATGGGTATATTTTGTATCAACTTTACTGATTAAATATCATGTTTGTTTCACTTAATTTTAATTATGCTTTAGCCACAAATACGAGTTTACAAACAAATTGAGATTCATGATATCTACTGGATTGGTATGCTCATGATACTGAATATTAATTTTACAATAATTACTGATTCTGAAAACATATGTATATATATTAATGAAGACCTGTATTATGATTAGAATGGCAACTATGCGGAAGCTCAATGTTTTAACATCATTTCCTTGTATGGGAACATTGTGGTTTGTGAAATTGGAACAAGAAGATGCCTTTTCTTCCCTTAACAAATTTTGGCACATCTGGAATAGGCTTCTTTTGACAAAACTGTAGTCAAGGTAGTCATATTTAGATAAAGTTTCAGTTCTAGAAAATTAGTTTTAAAAGGTTTTAGTAGTGCATCATTTTCTAGGATAAGTCACATCCTTCAGAATGCAATTAAAAAGTAACAAAGAATGAAGATTGTTTGTTTTTACCACACTCTCGTGTACATGAAATCAGGTTCATTCAATTGTTAGCTGGATGCTTATGTTAGATGCTATTCTTGTAGATCAACGAGCTTATGTTTTATCCTCTGGTCTCTAATTTTTTTTTTTCTATAGTAATATTTTCCTTGACGCTTGACCGACAAATTCAATAAAAATGTCTTCTCTCCATTGAATGAACGGGTTTTTCTGTCATGAACAGCTTCATCTTCTTATTCCTTGAGAACTATGGAGTCAGAAAACTAGAAGCCTTTTTTGGAGTTCTTATTTCTACTATGGCACTATCATTTACCTGGATGTTTTTTGACACAAAACCCAGTGGAAAAGAACTTATTATAGGTCAGTTCATTTTAACTGTCTTGTCTTTGATCAAATTCAGCTTGTCATTCATCATCAACATAACGGAGATTTGGTCTTCTTTGTTCAGGACTTCTAATTCCCAAACTTAGCTCCAAGACAATACAGAAGGCAGTTGGAGTTGTAGGCTGTGTCATAACTCCTCATAATGTCTTCTTATATTCTGCTCTAGTTCAATCAAGAAAGATTGATCCCCACAATAAAGGGAGAGTTCAAGAAGCTCTCAATTACTACACAATTGAGTCCTCGATTGCTGTTCTCGTTTCATTCATTATCAATCTATGTGTCACGGCAGTATTTGCAAAGGGATTCTATGGGACTTCTCAAGCCAGTAGTATAGGCTTAGTAAATGCAGGCGATTATCTTAAACAGAGGTATGGTGGAGGATTATTTCCAATTCTTTATATATGGGGCATTGGTCTTCTAGCAGCTGGGCAAAGTAGTACCATGACTGGTACTTATGCAGGGCAGTTTATTATGGGTGGTTTCCTTAACCTTCACTTGAAGAAATGGCTAAGATCAGTGATTACCAGAAGTTGTGCCATTGTGCCAACAATAGTTATAGCTATTATTTTCAATAGATCTGAAGACTCGCTTGATGTTCTGAATGAATGGCTTAACGTGCTCCAGGGTATGCAAATTCCATTTGCAATTATCCCTCTCCTAACGTTAGTGTCAAACGAGAAGATTATGGGAGGCTTTAAAATTGGAACTACTTCAAAGGTAACTTATAGTTTCCTCTCTTTCTTTGTTGTCTGGTTTCAATTTAGTCTACTCAGTTAACTATAAACTATTTCTAGTTATTTCAGTTTATATCGCCTATAAGATTGGGTTTTGAGTTGTTCGGTACTTAAATTTTGATCTATAGATTCATGGTTGCTTTTCTCATCAAAATGCCACAGAGAACTGAGTTAAAAGAATTAGAAGCACGCTTCACATGCCTCAATAGGAGCTCATATTTTATCTCTAACCAGACTATTTCGAGCACTGAATTATGAGGATTTTATTAAAGATGGGTAGCAACCAGACTTGAACGCAAAATCTTTGTGTGCTCTGATGCTAATTGATATATCGGCTTAAACTTTTAGACAAGTTAGTTTACTGTTGTCAGTAGAGCCATAGTCAATTTCCTTAAGATGTGAGAACTCGAGGGCACTGCCTACATTTGCTTAACTAAAACGAAAGTTGTTACAATTGTTCTTTACTCTGACGTACTTCATTTGTGTGTTGCAGAGAATAGTGTGGAGTATAGCAGCAATGGTAATCCTGATCAATGGATATGTACTGCTACACTTCTTCATTTCTGAAGTCAATAGCTTGCTGTTTGGGATTGTGATCTGCCTTGTAGCATCTGCATATGTTGCATTTCTCATGTATCTCATTTCATGCGGTGGTGGCTCTCTCTCCTCCTCGTGGTTCAGTCGAATGCGCTCTGATGGATTTGCTCACCTTAGAACTTGAACTATGGACTCAAAATTAGGCCTAACATTAGAGGCAGAACCAAGAACATAATTTAGTGGGGGTGTTAGCTATTGGCTTCATATGTGTAAATCTCTCTAGGCATTACATTTAAAGGAGGCCAGAATTTTGTTTACTGAGTCCTGACCACTGTTAATTATACATATGACGATGAGAAGCTTAATACTACCAGATTGTTTCTTTACTTCTGCCTTACTTTTTCGATAAATTTCAATCTAGACCATTTATTTTAATTTGGACAAGCTTTCTGTCAAATAAATTTGATGGGTGTTTGCTAAGCAACCGAGAGCTTAATTAGTGTACAAAGTTAGAGTCAAGAATCTCCAATATTGAAGTTCTTTCATGGTTGCAGGGTGGAACTTTTATTATGACAAAAATATAGCTTAAGTGGCATCATACCCCAAGAAGAAGAATAAATAATAAATTAAATTAAAATTTAATAAATGATAGCTGACAAAATCATCGATGGTACATGAGTAAAATCAGTATGTGTCAATCATTTAGAGAGAATTATCAATAGCAATATCATAACAACGCACATTCGTCAACGATTACCAACGATAATATATTGATGTTATCGACAATCACCTACCGTCTTTTGATCGAAGATCGTTTATGAAGTATTTATTCTTTCTTCACTTTTTTATATTTAAATACATAACTTAAATTTAGTTTTACTTTTTATTTGTTATTTATAAGATTATAACTATTATTTGATTGACGATTGATTTTTTTGTTTATTATTATTTTTGTTTAAATTCTACTACTTTATATATTGGCGATATTTTGTCCACAAAATAAAATAATTGAAAATATTATTTTTTAATATTACTAACTGAAAATTTGCTATTAAGCTTAAATTATTTTAATTATTAATTAATTATTGTATAATTTTAAAAAAAAATGTAATAGTTTAATTGTTTTCATATTTACTATTTTATATAACATCTGTTGGTAAAGTAAATATTTTGAGATTTAAAAAAAAAAATACCAACGACAAAAACTCAATTGTTAATGTTATTTTGTAACAAGGGGACTTTTTCATCGAGAATATTTTTTTTTCATTACTTATGTGTAAAAAATTTCATTTGTAACGTAAATTTAAAAATTAGGTTTTATGAATTACCATCACAAGAAAAATCATACTTAAGATTTATGATGTTAAGACAATTCAGCATGAACAATATGAAAAGTTCGCCTACCAAATAAAATCTCCCCTTAAAATCTATGACAATTTTAGATTTAAAAAAAAAGAGAGTAAATCTAAAAGATTGAGCCACTGTTTGGTCATCATTAAATTAAAATTCATCTTTCTTCTTATAAATCACACATTTTTTAATAAAATAATATTACATGTAAATTTAAATTTATTTTATATTGTTTGAAATAGTAGCTTTTTCTCTATTTTTTGTATTTTTATACTTTTTACATTTATATTATCTAAGTTTGAAAAATTAAAGTAATATTATCATAATAATAAAAATGCAAAAAAGTTGGCTTGGTTTAAACCTGAGTGAATTGCCCAAATAGTCACTGAACTTTACGTCTTGCTTCCAAAGGGTCACTGAACTTTAAAAATCGCTCAAGTCATCACTAAACTTTGTAAATGGTTTCCACAAGATCACTGAATTTTAAAAATCATCTCTCCAAATAGTCACTGAACTTTAAGTCGTGCTTCCAAATGGTCACTGAACTTTAAAAATCACTCAAATCATCATTGAACTTTGTAAAATGTTTCCACGAGGTCACTAAACTTTAAAAAGCACATCATTCATTACTAAACTTTGCAAAATGTTTTTACGGGATCACTAAATTTTGTAAAATGTTTCTACGGGATCACTAAATTTTGTAAAATGTTTCCTATGAGATCACTGAATTAATGACCCCTGGAAAACCTTTTATAAAGTTCAGTGATGAATGAGGTGATTTTGAAAGTTCGGTGACCTCGTGAAATTTTTTTGCAAAGTTCAGTGATAACTTGGGTGATTTTGAAAGTTCAATGACCTCTTGGAAGCATGACATTAGAGGTGTCAATCCGGGTGGGC